GGGTAAGCTGGCTAAAGAGGAAATGACACGGAATGTATGTTTGATAAAACCATCACTAAAAACTAAAAATAGCATAAAACCATGTCATCTCCTCTTTAGCCAGCTTACCCTGAAGATCCATTTAGGTGAAACCTAGGTAGGTATTTCCTGTCTCTTTAAGATTTAGGATGATTTGGTTCGGATATTTCTATTTCTAAATCTTTTTTTTTTTTTTTCCTCTGATGCCAATTTGTTTTGATATACTGGCAAATTGTGCCATCCGGGTTCTTTTAGCAAATGAGTATAATTATTAGTATTATATATATAGCTGATTAAAGAAAGAAAAATGCTAGATCATGAAATGCCAGATTGAAGAAGTTCAACTGTAAGTCATTCTTTTTTTTTTTTTTTTTTGTTTATTGGCATATTAACCTCGATGGGTTATTTAATGCTGAAATTTAAATATTTTGAACACAATTTTATGCCTTCAACTGAATATATTTTTAATGCAATTGCCTGCCTTCAACTATAGATAAAATGTATTGTTGGTCATTCTGTTATAAATAGGTATTGTTGGTCATTCTGTTATAAATAGGTATTGTTGGTCATTCTGTTATAAATAGGTATTGTTGGTCATTTTACTATGAATACACACACACATACATATATATATATATATATATATATATATATATATATATATGGTGGGCACTTCCGTTGCATTTGACGTACAAGGGTCAAGCAGCTCAGCTCCCAGGGACTGACAGCTAGACAACAGCACACATGATTACAGTAGTGAAAGTTTTGTGCAGAACCAACCACACTTTTTGGAAGGACCGAATACAGAGTCCTAGTGCACTACATGCCACAAGGTTCCCAAACAACCCTCCGCAGGTTTTGAATTCAGAGTTGTTCTTCTTCTAGACCAGTTGCCATCCAAGGCTATAGAACCCATTCTGTCCTGCTAGCATGTAAGTGAATGTAACGGATTCAAGTGGAATTTAAACTCTGCTCTTCGATTCCTCAATCTAAACCGATATCCACAACTCCACCATACCTATATATATATATATATATATATATATATATATATATATATATATATATATATATAGCTGGTATTTTTATTATAAAAATGTATTATATTTTCTTAGTGTGTGTGTGTTTTTTTGTTTTTTTTTGTTTTTTTTTGTGCGGTGGGTCACTATTTGTCCATAGCTGGTAACCTAACAGTCAGGGTGAACCTGGAAACAACATTTAAGAGGTGGTTCCATGCTCCTCAGAACTTCCACTCTCCTGGTCAGAGGCCTTGCTAGTAGATGTAGTTTATGATTACAAATGATTTATTTTTTATATAATAGATACCCTGCAAAATAATGGATATCCTAAACAATTACTGTACCAACAACTATACAGAATAAACAATGCCATTGAGGAAAATATACACTCTAGTTCTTAAAAAGTTTTAACAGTGAACATAGCATATGAAGAAAACACATCAGAAGCTCTCAAACGAATTCCAAAACAGATAGATATACAAGTTGTATTCTCCTCTTTCAATGAAATAGGAAGGACGCTCATCAGATTAAAAGATGAAAGAGCAGTTACAAGTAATGGTATTCTGATCTACAAAATTAATTGCATGAACTGCTCAACAAGTTATGTGGGCATGACTTCAAGATCACTTTGTGATAAGGTAATTTCAAATGATAACGGAAAAAAAAGTGGAAAAAAAACTTCAGCGATTGCATTACATGTCATTGCAAAGGACATAGAATTGACCTTGACCATCCGGAAAGGAAATTGATGGACCAAAAGCATTTCGATCAAAGAAGAGTAGCTAAACAAATGGTAATAGCAACTACAAAAAAATGCCTGCAATAGGATAGATGCGGCTCAACTCTGTCTGATCTGGACATCTCTGCTCCAAAGAAAAATATGATATGGCCTGGGGGGGGGGATTTATTTTTTTAATGCCCCAACATTGTAAACATCATCAACTTTTTTTTTTTTTTTTTTTTTTTTTTTTCCTTGATTTAAATACTTAAGCATTTCAAATTTCTTTGCACTGTTTTACTCAATTTAAGTAGTGACCAAGACTAGAAATTGCTAGCTGAAATATTTCCATAAAAAATAAATCAGTCATTGGAATTACAAGTTTTTTTTTCTTTTAATTATGCAACTACTAACGGAGACAAGCTTCCTAACTTTAACATCTTTTACATCTTGGTGAAATATTTCTGAGTTGGCCATAGGTGACCTAAATGATTGAATGGTTGAATAAAACCTTGCTATTATTATTACATGAATTAGTCAATATTTTATTATTACATGAATTACACAATTTCATCTCTTGTTTCAATCACTATTGTTTCAATCATAGCATTCTCTAACCTGCGGGTGTATGTTGCATCCTGTAATATTTTAAAAGTTTATTTAATATCTTCTTTTTTTTTTTTTTTCCAAACAAGATTTCAATATGGCATTTTTTGGCATATTCAAACTGCCAGCATCTCTACACTTCCTTGTGCTTTGGAGGAGATTATTAATTAAAGGTTATTCTTTCTTTATGAGGATGAGTGCAAATACGTGAAACCACACTAAGTGAAACTGGATAAAAAAAATTTAACAGGCCATAATTACAAGTAATAGAAACAATAAATAACCAGTGATAATGGAAGATGCTGCTGTTTCTTTGTGCCAAGAGCAAACAATCAAACATGTCTTTTGATCAAGGGATATAACTTATGTTGATATCTTTCCTCTTTTCAGTTTCTTCTTGCAATTTAGAATATTCTTTTTGTTTTGTTTTTTTTTTTGTTTTTTTTTTTGTTTTGTTTTTTTTTTTACATCATTTCACCACCAATCAAGACAATAAACCCACTAAGATACAAGGGGGTTATTGGGTGTGAAAGAATAAGATAAAGAAAATCATTATTAAAGAGCAAGAACAATAAAAGAAGAGGCATCAAGAAGATAGTAGATAACAACTGACATTGCATTTTTCATTGTAGCAAAGGCCTGTTTCATTGAAACAAGTATCTGAGAACCTTATACATAGATGTTCTTTCTGCAATATGTTATACATAAGATTTGTTATTTCACACTTCTATATTTCTCTAATTATACCTATTTAAATTTATAGCCTCTTGTCTTGAATTTGAGTGGAAGAAAACCCTGCATGACGAAAAGAATTATTATTGGTTTCACAAATTATAGGCACATTTCTAGTATCATCTTCCAAACCAAGCAGTTCTAAGTTTAAATTTTCTACAGAAAATTGTTGCTACTGCAAGGTTAAACATGACTAATCTTTCAGCAGCCAAAGGGCTTTCAGCTGCTAATGTTTAGGCTGCTATGACATTATCACCAACCAAAAATAATAGATATTCTCTTTGCAATCTTCCATCCAATTGGTTAGCAAATGAGGCATCACTCTAAATAGCAATCATTACTTTTTCAAATTCACCAAAAACAGGAATAAATATCTGATATTTTTCTCTGAGCCTTCTTAACAGCTCTATTGACTTGCTTAATGCAGTCGTCTTTTTCTTGATTCACTTACATCATAGCTCAAATCTGTGCTAGTTTGAGTTGCTAGCCAGTAAAGATAACCAATCAGGAAGGCCTGAAACTCCAGCTAGCCGTATTTTATCTTGAACATTTTGGTTAATTTCTCAATGGGACAAACACAAGATTTTAAATATATTCATCTTGCCCATAGTCTTCCTAACTTTCTTTACCTTCAAGCCAAATAAATTTGTCCCTAAAAGCGGTATGGGAAAAAAAATTCCATTCCTGATCCAGCAACATGAGTGATGATGGCCTGGTCATATTTTGGTGGAAGTCACCACCCGCCTGATTTATTAGTTCCTTTCTGACAGTTAAATGCAATGCACATGTGTGGCCACTGAAGGAGACTTGTTTATCAATTGTTTCTCTTTGCATCGATTTACAAACCCATCTCTTTGTTGACATTATTCCAATTGCCACCATAAAAAATTTTTCTTGAAACACATTAGGAAAGCCTTTCACAACATGTAAATTTTTTTTCATGAGGTTCTTTGTACAAATCCATTTGTGATATATTTTTCATTGACCATTATCAGGAACTGATTCAAATGCTGTCCGAGTATGACAATAAACTACATCTGTGTCTTGGGTAAGACAATAAACTACATCCAACAACAAGGCCTCTGATCAGGTTTTGAGGAGTATGGAACCACCTCTTAATTGTTGAAGTTTTCAGCTCTTCCCTGACCTGGGGTGGTCGCTCCTGGTAGAGTCCCAGCTATGGGCAAATAGTTACCCCCAAACTGGGGTCAAAACACTATGAAAGTATAAAAACAGCAATACATTTTTGTAAAATACTTACCAGCAATAAATTTTTGAAGAAAAAATTATTACCAGCAATAAAAATATAACAGCAATACATTTTTCTTTTTTTTATCAAAGGAACACAAAGGGAATGCATATGGTTTGCCACTGTGAACATGGCATGGTGGATGCTAAAAGCAAAGGCTTGAGCTGCTGGAACTAAGGAATGTAACTCATCCAAACATCTGCCATAGTAATAACAATAGAGAAGTGAATGTCTAGCAACATTTCATCTGTAGGGTAAGGATTGCAAGGTGGAGAATAACTCAACACCAACAAGACCGTGGGAGGATGGACAGTGAAGATTAGGTAGCATCAGCCCAAATATGGCAGCAATATTCCATTTTGGGTCTGATAAGACTCATGTAAGATAGAGAATGGCAGATGTTATGTTACTTTTGAGAACTCATGAATTTGAGGAAGCAAAAAAAAAAAAAAGAAATTGTAACTAAAAAGTTGGATTAAAATATTTCAATCAGGTTTGGTTTGTTTTACGGCATATCAACCTCAAGTGTTATTTAATGCTGACAAAAGTTTTATTGCTGGTAATATTTTTTTTTTTTTTTTTTTCAATAACAATTAGAACTCTACTCTCTGATTAACAATTCTGAGACATTATCCGTTACACTATCCACACATCAAAGCTTACAGCATCTGGTATTCCCAAGTGGTCACCCATCAAAGTACTGACCATGCTCAATGTTGTTTAACTTCAGTGATTGTACACAAACTGGTGTTTCAATGTTATATGGTTGTAAGTATTTTATTTGTTGAGCCAAGCAGCAGTCCATTTAGCAAAGGTTGATTTGATAGAGTATATCTTGTTTATTGGGTTTGTTTTGAAGTAATCAAATTAAGGTCATCAATGCACTCTTTGTAGAAAGGAGAGATCATGATTTAGTTAACCAGATGTCTTTGCGATTATCTAAGTCAAATATAAATATATTTACAGAAAATTGCTATCCAGTCTATACAAAGTACAGTTCATTGCAACCTTCTCCACATCATAACTATTATAAAACATATCTGAATAATTCATTGTAAAATAAATTGTAAAGATAAGCTAAGAAAAAAAAAGAAGTCCTTTCTTTCTTAATCCTAACACTATGTATATGCACATATATATGATACATGGTATATACAAAGTGTTAGGATTAAGAAAAAAAGGATTTTTTTTCTTCGCTGTATTTACAATTTATTCTTAATATAAGATTCTTGTAACCTGTTTTTATTTGGCATTTATATCTCCATTTTACACTTTGACATTCTCCTGACGCCTGTCATTGTGAAATGTGTGGGCACTTAAGAAATTCTTTTAATATGAGATTCAAGAGTATAAAAATAAACTTTAAAAATAATAAAAAAACAAAATCCACTCTGTCGATAGAATCTTGGAGAGATCATGAACCAAGTGCCAAACTGGTGGTATACTTTCAAGATAAAATGACAACATGAGAGTGAAGATAAGTTTGTTTACCAACAGTGATCAGTGGATACCACAGATTTATTTACGTATTTCATTCCTGTGAGACTGTTTTGAAAAATGAGTATTACTATCATTATGAATAAGATATTTTACTCTTGGTGCAGAATTTCTCCCTGATTCAATATTATTGTTTAACTGATTAGACAAATGAACGTGAGTTGATATCAATTTGGAATATTTGAAATAAGGGAGACAATTCTTAGATTTAACACATCACAAACTGAATTCCTAAATTTTGCCAATGTGAGATTACTCTGCCTTGTTAGCCAATGGACTTCTCATGACGTCCACTACGCTGCATTGTATAGTGCTAAATATATGTATTCACTTTAAACCTTATTTTTAGTGGAAACTTGTATGTATTAGGAAAGAACTAAAAACTTTCTTCTACTTTTTGCCCTCTTCACACACAGGATGCTGTAGCAAAATGGCATATTCAGTTTCCTTTCTTGGGAGACTTCTTCGTCCTCCAAGTTTTGGCACAAGGCCACAAGTTAGGATAAAACTATTCAGTAATAATGAACAACCAGACGAGCCTTGCTAACCATTACTTCACATTTAGGTGCACACTTTTATATATATATATATATATATATATATATATATATATATATATATATATATATATATATATATATAATTCTCTAAATGTGTGTGTATGTAAGTGTGTGTGATTGGATGTTGTTTATGCATTTCCACAGCTTTCATCTGATTTCAATGAAATTTTTTTTGTTTGATAAATAATTCTTCAGTGCTGGTTTTGAGTCCAAATTATCAGTGACACTGGGTCTCCACTACTTCCTGTCCATTATAATTCTCAGCAACGTTTTACTATTTACTATCTGTTCTTGGATATATATCTTTCATAAAAACTTTAATGAAAATAAATAGTTTAAATTATTACAATATTATTTATTATTATACACTTCCCTTTTCAGGCCTACCCCCAATTTGGGGATGTGCCTCAGTTGCACCCAAATGTTGTTACTAATATTGATTTTTGGCAGGCTAACTTTAAACTGAAATTGCTCCAATTGAATGCCAAAAATTCCCAGTAATGAAAGGCCCGATCAAAGACAGGTTATATTGCTAGTATATATATATATATATATATATATATATATATATATATATATTCAATGAATTAAATCTAGTTTAAGTGACTTATTTGGCCAATTAGGTAAGTTACTTGATCTTTTCTTGGTTTAATGAATATTAAAGCTCTAGTTATCTATTGAGTGCTTTTTGGTAGATGTTCTACTAGCTTAAAAAATGTTAAATTTTCATTTTCATGTACTTGTTTTGTTGTAAAAGTATAATTATTATTATTATATATTCAACCCATGTATGTGTTGATTTCATTTCTTTTGAAAGTTTTCAAGCACATTCCCATTTTAAGGTAACTCACATTTGCAAGCTATGTCCGTAACTTAATTTCTCTCTCCAAATCCTATATATTCAGACAGGTTTATGCTCAAGCTATATGAAAGATGTGTTTTTATTCCTGAATATCTGAATTTGTTTGTTTACTAGGAGTTTGAATGTATTAAATGTCAGTATCATATTTGGTTAACCAAATCTTGTAGCTCTGTCTAGAAATGTTTAAAAACTTGATTTTTATTTTGCTTGACATGCTTCAATGAGTTGTACTTATCCAGAAGGCAGAAATCTAGGATAACCATTTATAAAAAAAAAAAAAAAAAAAAATGAATTGATTTTTTTTATATTTTTTTAAATAATTTAATTCTTCAAGGATTTTTTTTTCTTACTTTCTTGGATAAAGAATTTTTGATGTATAATAGTTTCATTTCTTCTTTTTTTCTTCTCTCTTTTTTTTTTTTTTTTTTTTTAAGCATTTTCATTAATGGTTACATGTCAGATACAGTAGGCTAAGGAGCAGTAACTTTGTATTGTATAGGCTTTATGGGTTGGTTGATTTTTATGATGTGATTTTTTTTTTTTTTTTGCTGGCTCATAAAATTTAATATCATTGGGCTGATGGCACCTAGCTTGAATCCACAATAAAAAAAATCAGGATGTTGAATTAGTAAATACTAAACATTTCAAATATTGTGATGTATGCATCAGTTATAACAAATTTAGTAGAGGAAATAAAGAAATTGAACATAGACTGTGCAAGGAGTAGTTTTACCCAATACAGCAAGTTGCTACATAACCAAAACATTAGCCTAAAAACTCAAGTCATTATTCTTAAATAGCCCCTTCAGGTCAACACTTCCATATGGATAGTAATTATTAAATACCTTGATGAAAATGTTGGTCATGTAGATTATGCTTCTTTTTTTCAATTTGTCAAATTGTATTTTAAAAATTAAACAAAACATATTGTTCAGCTTTTAAGTTTTTATAATGTTAGAGAAAAAATATGTACATGACCAATTTTAATTTTTTTTTTTTTTTTTTTTTTTTTAATCATTTCACCCCAATCAAGGCAATAAAAGACACTCAAATGAAAGGTGTTATTAAGAGGGGAAAGAAACAAATAGGAAAATAAAAAAACAGGATTCGAGTAGAGAGATGATGATGATTGACTTGGCATTTAAAATTTTAAGATTATAGTTGACAGGAAAGTGAGATGTGCAAGAGAAGAAAATACAGATTGTGGCTGAAATACCTGCCACATTTTAAAGGTTAACAAAAAGACCAAGGTAACTGCTATTAAAAAATTTATTTCACTGTTGTTTAAACAAAGAGCTACAATTTTTATTTGTTTGGTTTTAAAAATGGCATCCTCTAAATAATGGCTTATGCTTGCTAGACACTTTTGTAGATGGTTTCTAAAGTCTTCTATCATCAGAAAGTTTATGTGATTCAAGGTCTTCCAGGTGGCTTTCTTTTAAGCCATAACCTGTAGCCCGGAAATCTTCAACCAATAACAGTATCAATTTTTCTATACAGAACAGCATCATTCCGATATAATATGAAAAGCTCTTTGAGTTGCAATTAAATTCAACAACAAATGCATGGTGTGCCTCGGTCCAAGCCATGTTCACTAATGGTATCTGAAAAAAAAATGGTAGGATATTAGCTAGATGAAGACACCATTACCACTTTTCTAAGTTTACTAGCACCAAACAGGTGACAGCTTAAAATGTGGAAGGTATTTCTATTGTAACTTGTATTAGTATAGAACATGGTTACAACTTGTAATTTGAATAGTGAAATTATGTGACCGAGCTTCCAATGTCGTACTGCATTTAACTTTGTGAAGTCAAGGTACCAACACAAAATCAAATGTCATTGCTGTGTTGTAATGGTTAATGAGCTGGTTGCATCAGTCATTACATCTGAGTTGTGACTTCATTTGTTATTCAGTGAATTACATTTGACTTTGCATCAAATCTAAGAAATGCTTTGAAAATAAATATAATTCAGGTTTTTTTTTCCTGGATGATAGTCTTTCTTGATTGAAATATTTGAATATTGCACACAGACAGATCATGGTTGAAATCAGTGCAGGTATCTCTAGAGAGAAGCCTCAATAAACACATATTGATCTTTTATTGATTATTTTGCAATGAAACAATTTATTTCTCTCTTGTAAATATTTTCCGAAAGTAGGTCAGCAGAGAAGAAAATGGCTTTTCAAAAACTCCTTACTCTGAATTAAGCAAGCTTGAGAAGTGTATTCAGATGCACAGGTATTTTGAGTTCAAGCTCAATTGAAGTTCAGTAAACTTTAATTGTTTCCCCTTGTACAACATTGGAGCCAATGATTTTAGTTTCCATTCCCAGAGAGACCCAATCATTGTTTGTAGCAATTGAATTCAGAGTGTTAACCTGATATCCAAGCTGGACTATTTTGATAGGGTGAAAGAGGCCCTTATGTCCTGTTATTTGCTTATAGCTTTGAGGAATAGTACATTGATACCTTTCCTTGGGGCATTAATGTAAAGTGAATGCAAATTAATGCACAGAGTTTTAGCTCATACTAGCAGCATGGCCCGGCATTGACCGTGCTTGATTCAAAAATCATACAACTCATACAGCAATTGCTATCATTTGCCCTCCTTGCCTTTAAAGGAGTGCCCTTTTCCATGCGGATGTTGCTACATGCCTTACTTCTTGCCTATCTCACACTGCAAATTTTTTCTAAGCTCTATACTAAACATTAAATCTATTACGAAAAAAGAACTAAACAAAATGAGCGCAAAACGATCAGCTTTAAAAAAGGACTCGTAACTGGAAAAACCAAATGAAAAAAGAATGTTAACAACACTTTTTCACACCCAACCCA